CTTTTATTTGCTTGCTCTGTTTATTGCACATTCTGGTTTTTCCTTGGCTTTGCCGAGGCAAGTTAATTGGGGGTCACCAAGAATAGCTACTTTCTTCATTCCGAAGATCAAGAACCTCATAACCGATTGACTTTACAGAAAAAATCATAAACAATAAAAGCAAGTAACTTCAAAACGTGGAAATGTGGATCAAACACGACGCACATGCTCAAGATATGGGTTTGTGAATCCATAATTACACAAATTTGATGGTGCATTATGGGATTTCTTATGCGGTATCTCATATTACAAGAAAAAGGGAAATGACTGGCCTATTAGCATATTCCAGTAGCAAATAGACAAGCTCTGTTTCCCTACCAACTACATTTGGGACATGATAATAATAAGCCACAAGCTCAACTTATGACAATCCACATTTCCAGAAAATGTTCTCCGAAAATGACTTCTCTAGTGGAAGCAGAGAATACAAGTTCTAAGTGTCATTCCACATCGATTGTGTCCTCACAGTTCTTCAACACATCTCACCTTCATCCCCACACCCATCACCCCACCAGCCTTTACATTTTAAATACATACTACACCCTTAGTTTGAAGTAGAAGACAAAATTATTGCTTCATAAGAGTAGAGCATGAAGGGAAAATGACTAACGATATCCTCGAGCAATATGGTTTAAAGACGCCCTTTACATATGCATTGTTTATATTTGAGATAACAAACAAAATTCAATAGAATGTGACGGAAATGCACAAACTGCAACTCTTACAAGTCATTTGTTGATTAATTGTTGTTCACCTGAGTTTTTCCAACCTTCCTTTTTGTTGCATTCTTTCTCCCTTCTGCAGATAAAGGACAGACTAGGGTTTCAACGTAGATTCCCACCATACGCCAACCGTCAAAGTTAAAGTTAATAACCTTTGAATATCTGAAAGAGTCATCCTTTGGATTGTATGTCATGATGTTACTTTTTTTATCAAGTGAAGTAGAATATGTCATGACTATTGAAGATAATGTGGACAGAGGCGTGACTTGATTCCATTAGTTAGTTTTCAGCTTCATTAGTTAGTTAAGTATAACTAATTCTGTTAGATTGACAGGTGTACATTTCTGATTGGTTGTAAATGTAGTTAGGAAATTAGCTGAACTATATATATTGATGTACAGTGCACATGCTCCATAAGCATGATCAATGAATAAGATCATCTCTTTCGTTTCTCCCTATTCCCCTAAATCAGTTCTCTCCATTCATAGATGTAAATTGAGATTTTGTCATGGTATCAGAGCTACTAATCATTAATTGATTCATCTCTAATTGTGAACGATCTTTTTCTGCAAGTTATTTGAGTATTTTGTGATCTGGTTTTGGGAATTATGGTGAGCACTGACACAATTGTAGATGTCGAGAAGAACCACAATCATCCCATGTATCTCCTGCAATCTGACACTCCAGGATCTTCATTAACAACTATCTAGCTTACAGGCGTGGAGAATTACTCGTTATGGAGTCGATCGATGCTCCTAACTCTCCGAGCCAAAAGTAAAGTAGGTTTTGTTTTTGGTACCTGTAAGAAGAGTGATTACAACAATGCTTTGAAAGAACAATGGGAAAAGTGTAATGCATTCGTGCTATCATAGATTTTGAACTCTGTTTTGAAGGATTTAATGAGTGGAATCATCTATGCAACTGATGTTGCTACTGTATGGGTTGATTTGAAGGAGAGATTCGACAAGGTCGATGGATCGCGAGGTTACCAGCTACATTGTGAGATTTGTACTATCACACAAGGTACATCTTCTGTTTCTGCTTATTTCACACGATTGAGGTTACATTGGGATGAATTTGATGCTTTGGTCGCACCTCCTTCTTGTGGTTGTGATAAATCAATGGTCTATGCTAGTCACTTGCAGTACATGAAATTGTTTGCATTTCTCATGGGATAAATGAGTCTTACAATCAGGCACGTAGTCAAATCCTTGTGATGATTCCCTTACCCTCTGTAAACAAGGCTTATTCAATGATTATTTCTGATGAAAGCCAACGAATGGCTACTGGTTCGTACCAAGGAGGTGTTTTAGAACCACCTACTGCATTGTTGTATGCTGGAAAAAATCATCATAGGAAGTTTGTTGGCAATGATCCTTACTCAAGAGGACAGTTTGTTGGCAATAATCCTTACTCAGGAGGAGATGTAGGTGCATCCACCTTTACTGCATTATATGCAGGAAGAGGACATCAACAATCCTCATATAAGCAAAAGAGGGATTATACTTTGCAATGTAAAGTTTGCAAGTTGAAAGATCATACTAAGGAGACATGTTATCGAGTGGTTGGCTATCCACCAGACTATAAATTCAAGAAGAAGTTTGGAGCACAACCTGAAAGGTCTGGGAATCAGGGAAATAGAATGGCCAATGTGAATGCTGTTGAAGATGATTCACTTGGTTCAGCCTTTCCCACATTCACTCAGGAATAGTATGGTCAAATTCTCATGTTATTGAACAAAGAACACACTGATGCTCCTGTTGTCAATCAAGAAGGTATGGGCTATTCCTTTTCTCACAGCATTAAGCTTAAAAATTGGGTGATAGATTCTGGAGCAACAAAGTACACTACAGCCTCATTAGATGATCTATTTGATATAGTCTCTTTAGAACAAGGAGGTCAGAACTATGTACAATTACCCAATGGAGGTACTGCCTTAATATCTCACACTAGTAGTTTTAAATGGAGCACTGGTGATGTCTTAACTAATGTCTTAATAGTCCCTGATTTCAAGTATGATTTGCTATCAGTCTCTCAATTAACTAGGCAATTACACTGCTCAGTAAGATTTTTCCCTGAGTTTTGTGTCTTTCAGGACCTGTTAACTGGGAAGGTCAAGGGGATTGGTAAAGAGACAGGAGGCCTTTATTACTTGTTGAACCATGGTGCTGAAAGAACTAATCAAGTTGCTGGAAAATTGATGCACCTCAAAGTCACCAAGAATGATAGCATGTTATGGCACAGAAGACTTGGTCACCGTTCTTCTACTATTTTATAGAAATTAGGTCCAACTGTAAATAATCACATTGATGACTGTTTTGTATGTCCTTTAGCAAAACAAACAAGGTTGCCTTTTCCTTTGTCACTTACCAGATGTACCTCTATATTTGACTTGATACATATTGATGTTTGGGGACCATTTAGAGTACAAACTCATGCTGGTTTCAGATATTTCCTTACTGTGGTTGATGATTGTTCCAGAATTACATGGTTATACTTGCTTAGACTGAAATTTGATCTTGTCACAATTCTGAGATCTTTTTTTTAATATGGTTAAGACTCAATTCAATTGTGGTGTAAAGAGTGTTAGGTCAGATAATGGTGGTGAGTTCTTTAGCACTGAATGTAAAGATTTGTTTGATTCTTTAGGAATTGTCCATCAAAGCAGTTGTCCACACACTCCACAACAAAATGGAGTGGTGGAAAGGAAACATAGGCACATCTTAGAGGTTGCAAGGGCTATCAGGTTTCAATGAGGTTTACCCATTAGATTTTGGGGAGAATGTGTCATAGCAGTTGTTTATTTAATTAACAGACTGCCTAATCCCACATTAAAGGGTTAGTCACCTTATGAAGTTTTTTACAAAAGAAAGTCTAAACTAGATCATCTTAGAACTATTGGATGCTTATGTTTTGCTACCACACTTGTCAGAAAAGATAAGTTTTCACCTAGAGCTAATATTTGTGTGCTAATGGGGTATTCTCTTACTCAAAAAGGTTGTATTCTTTTTGACATTTTTGACAAGAAATTATTGGTTAGTAGAGATGTAGTGTTCAAAGAATCAGTTTTCCCTTTTAAAGAACATGATAGTTCAGATGGTTCAGTTCCCTTGTTTCCAAACCTCACTCAGTCATCAGAGTTTGATTCAGCTCAAATGGAGCTTAATGAACCTGAAGAGACTCCACTTACAGAAGAAGATATTGTCCCTAATGTGCCAGCCTCAATAGATACTGATGATGGTACTAATGAACACACAATCCTACATCCTGATCTAAGAAGGTCCAGTAGAGCAGTTATCAAACCAGCCTGGCATCATGATTATGTTACTACAAAAAAGGGCCATAACCCTCATTCATTATCCAACTATGTGTCTTACCAGACTATATCTCCTACATACAAAGCTTGTTTAGGTCATTTCTCAGTTGTCACTGAACCTAAGTCCTATGTAGAGGCACTACTAGATGATAAGTCGAAAGATGCAATGCAACAAAAATTACAGGCCTTCAAGGAAAATGGTACTTGGAACCTGGTACCTTGTCCACAAAGGAAGCCTGTGATAGGATGCAAATGGGTTTTTAAGATCAAACATAAGGTTGATGGCACTGTTGAAAGGTACAAAGATAGACTAGTGGCTAAAGGGTATAATCAGACTGCTGGGATAGACTATCAGTCTAGTAGTGAAGCTGGTAACAGTCAGAATTGTCATTGCTTTAGCTGCTGCAGAGAGTTGGTATATATATCAAATGGATGTTTACAATGCGTTTTTACAAGGAGACCTTACAGAGGAAGTATTCATGGAACTGCCTAAAGGCTTGCAGGTAGCAGGAACTACACCTATGGTATGTAAGCTTGTGAAGTCTCTTTATGGACTCAAACAAGCTTCCAGACAATGGAATTCTAAGCTTACTGAAGCCTTGCTGAAGACTAGATACAATCAAAGTGATTTGGATTATTCTTTATTCACAAAAAGGCAGGGTACCAATTTAGTCATTATATTGGTCTATGTTGATGACCTTCTTATCACTGGGAACAATGTTGCTCTTATTCAGGCCACTAAGGATGTCCTGCATAAATGGTTTAAAATCAAGGATTTGGGACAGTTGAAATTCTTCTTGGGGATAGAATTTAGCAAATCTAAAAAGGGAATCCTAATGAGCCAAAGGAAGTATGCTTTAGAACTTCTAGTTTAGGCTGGCATCACTGCAGAAAAGCCAACAATTACTCCACTAGAATGCAATATGAAACTCACTACAGCTTCTGAAGGTACGTGTGGTGAGGAGGAGTTATATCATGATGTTTCCCAATATCAAAGGTTGATTGGGAAGATACTATACTTGACAATAACTAGACCTGATATTGCCTACACAGTGCAAACTTTGAATCAGTTTCTACAAAGGCCAAAGGTTCAACACTGGCAGGCTGCTCTCAGAGTTCTTAGATACCATAAAAATCAACCAGGCTTGGGGTTATTGATGTCTTCACAGAAGAATATGAAGTTGACTGGTTTTTGTGATTCAGATTGGGTAGCATGCCCAAACACAAGGAGATCAGTTACTGGATACTTGTTAAAATTGGGAGACTATCTTATCTCTTGGAAGTCCAAGAAACAACCTACAGTTTCAAGGAGCTCTGCAGAAGCAGAATATAAGAGCCTAGCTTGTCTAACAGCTGAAATTGTGTGGGTGACAAACTTGTTTAAAGAGTTGGGCATCAATGTTAAAGAACCAGTAGCTGTATTTTGTGATAATAAAGCAGCCATTCAGATTGTTGAAATCGATTGTCACTTTATTCGCGAAAAGATTCAACAAGGGTTGATTAGCACTATCTACATTCCTACAGGAGACCAACAGGCAGACATACTGACAAAGGCTTTGGGGAAGTTGCAACATGATTTTTTACTATCCAAACTAGGTGTTTTGAATGTCTTCACCACACCTAGCTTGAGGAGGAGTATTGAAGATAATGTGGACAGAGGCGTGACTTAATTCCATTAGTTAGGTAAGTATAACATTGGTTGTAAAGGTAGTTAGGAAATTAGTTGAACTATATATATTGATGTACAGTGCACATGCTCCATAAGCATGATCAATGAATAAGATCATCTCTTTCGTTTCTCCCTATTTCCCCTAAATCAGTTCTCTCCATTCATAGATGTAAATTGAGATTTTGTAAATGACTTTACTAGATCCAAAACAAACCAAAATTTCACCTTTATTTGATATGAGAGGGTGGAAACATCATATAATCATAAGCCACAAAAGGATCATCAGGATACCCGATAGTTAAATTTTTTGTCCAAAATTCTTTAACTCTATATGTCACGCCCCGAGCTACCCCCAAGACGCGGACACGGGACCTAGGACCACAAGTGATCCCAAGCTAACCCTGCTGGCATGATCATGAGCATACTAAAGATAATAAATTGATGTGAAAGCTAATTCATAAATAAAATTGAAAAGATGGGGAATACTCATATACTATAACTGAATATATCAAATCTGAGAGTTTAATACAAAAGAAATATCAAACTCAAACCATACCGAGTTCTGAAGGCTGTCTTCGGAATGCCACTATCTCTGACTCTAAGCTGATGATATCCTGATTTGAGGTCTATCTTTGAGAAATGACTAACACCCTGAAGTTGGTCAAACAAGTCATCAATCCTGGGGATAGGATACTTTTTCTTGATTGTGACTTTGTTCAACTGCCTATAGTCAATACACATTCTGAGAGAACCATCTTTCTTCTTCACGAACAACACTGGTGCACCCCATGGCGAAATACTGGGTCTGATGAAGCCCTTATCTAGAAGGTCTTTCAACTGCTATTTCAATTTCTTAAGCTCAGCTGGAGCCATTCTGTAAGGAGGGATAGAGATAGGTTGGGTATCTGGAAGGAGATCAATTTCAAAGTCTATTTCCCTTTCGGGAGGAACTCTAGGAAGATCTTCTGGGAACACTTCTGGAAACTCACTGACTACAGGAACTGACTCAAGAGTTGGGGATTCGAAACTAGAATCCTTAACCCGAACTAGATGATAGAGATAACCCTTAGAGATCATCTTTCTGGCCTTAAGGTAAGAAATGAATCGACCCATAAGCGCTAAGCTACTACCCTTCCATTCTAGGATTGGTTCGTCTGAAAACTGAAAACGAACAATCCTAGTTCTACAATCGACTGAGGCATAACATGAATGTAACCAATCCATGCCTAGAATGACATCGAAGTCTACCATTTCTAACTCTACAAGATCTGCTGAGGTGACTTACTGAGAGATTGTGACAGGACAATTTTTGTATACCCGTCTTGCTATAACTAGGTCACCGACTGGAGTAGAGACTGAGAAGGGTTCTAAAAGAGTTTCTGGACTAACACTGAATTGGACTGTTATGTAAGGAGTTACAAAAGACAAAGTAGCCCCTGGATCTAACAATGCATAAACATCAAGATCAAAGACTCGTAACGTACCAATGACTACATCAGGAGAATCTTCCTGATCTTGACGAGCCTGAAGAGCATAAAGCCTGTTTTGGCGTTGTCCGCCACCAGTACCAGAAGAGTTACTCTGCTGAGTCGGGCGACCTACTGGTGCTGCTGAAGTTGAAGACTGAGCTCTACCATTATTTTCTCTTTGACCTTGTCTTGAAGGACAATCCTTCAATCTATGACCAGACTGGCCACACCCAAAGCATCCTTCCTTACCTGCAAGGCACTCGCCCGAATGGTTCCTACTACATTTCGGGCAAGTTGGGTAGGTTTTGGTGCCTGAAACACTACCTTGAGACTTAGAGTCTGATGCCCTACCTTTCTGATCATTACGGAACCTGGGGGATGGAACACTAGCTGATGAAGGGGCTGGAGTCGAAGACTTCTGCTGAAAATACGAGCGGTTTCCACCACCCGATTTCTGGTGGGAATACTCGTAGTTACCTGTTCTTGCTTTCTTAGTCTCCTTAGCATGTTCCCTAAGTTTATCACCCTCAACCTGCTGAGCATGAGTCATGAGCCTAGAGATGTTCATGTCTCCTAACAACATAGCATTCCTGCACTCTGTTTTCACTAAGTCTGACACTCCATAGAGAAACTTATTCATCTGAGCCCTGGAATCAGCAACCATGTGAGGAGCATACCTGGAGAGTTGGTTAAACTTGATCCCATACTCTTGGACAGTCATGTTACCCTGTCTTAAGTTCATAAATTCCTGGGCCCTTGCTTCTCTCAACTCTGTGGGGAAAAACTTGTCTAGAAAGGTTTCGCTAAACATTCCCAAGTAATAGGAGCAGCATATGTACCCCTGTTCTCCTTCCACTGAGTATACCAGATATGAGCTATATCCTTAAGTTGGTAAGATGCTAACTCAACCCGATCATTCCCAGTGACCTACATCACCTCAAAGATCTTCTTGATCTCATCCAAGAAATTCTGGGGATCTTCACCAGTCTGCGATCCTAAGAACTCTGGAGGATTCATCCTAACAAAGTCACGGACCCTTGCTGCTGCTGATCCACCATTTGCATTCATAGGAGCTTGAACCCGCTGATTGTTCTGGTTAGCGACACTCTGAGCCAACATCTGAATGGCATTCCTGAATTCAGCATTTAAGACTTCCTGATCTGGAACTTGAAAACTGCATTTGCGTTCCTGGCGTTAGCTCTACGGGGAGGCATGATCACTGAAACGTAGAACGTCGAGTTAGAATGGAATTAGATCATACCTTACGCATGATAAGAGTAACAAGAAAATGAAGATTTTTCCTAAAGACACTTTGTAGCCTCCCTCTCATTAGATGTGGTACGCACTACACACCCATGAAAAGGACTCTACCTAGTGCGGCTTTTCAGACATCCTAGGACACTTAAACCTAATGCTCTGATACCAAGTTTGTCACGCCCCGAGCTACCCCAAAGATGCGGACACGGGACCTAGGACCACAAGTGATCCCAAGCTAACCTTGTTGGCATGATCATGAGCATACTAAAGATAATAAACTGATGCGGAAGCTAATTCATAAATAAATCTGAAAAGATGGGGAATACCCATATACTATAACTGAATATATCAAATCTGAGAATTTAATACAAAAGAAATATCAAAATCAAAACACTAAGCTGAATCTAACTATGTCTGAAATAAGCCTCTAAACTGACTAGAAATGTTGGGACATGCCCCAACTAGATCTAGCAAAACTGAAACTAAAGACTAAAAGCGATAAAGATAAACATGTCACTAGTCTTCGAAAAATGAGGACTCACCACTGATGCTGCTGAACTGAAGATCGAGAACCGATCTAAGCATGATCTGGATACTGAGAACCTGAACCTACATCACGAGAAGATGTAGCGCACGTATGCGTCAGTACTTGAAAGGTACTGAGCAGGCAGGATAGAGTAAAGCTGAAAGAACATATAACTGAACAAAGCAATAAAGCAATGAAATAATCTGAACATGATATAGATACTAAATACTAAGCTAACTGAATGCAATGACCAAATTATAACATGCTGACTGAATACTGAATGAACTGTAAATGTGGTCAATGCAATAAAGTCTGACTGAACTGTGGGAGCTACTAATAACCGACATAAAACCACATGAGCTAAATGTGGAGTCCGATGTATATGCCCCATCGAGAGGACCCAATATACCCGGCCAAAGGTATAGAGGCATGACTGGCGTGATCACTAAACTGATATTGCCCACATAGGGGACTTACACCTACGTGGCTCGTAGTTCTGGGACTATATGGGTACGCTGAAACCCTAGTCCAACTCGGTATTATGCTACTCCCAATAGATTAAGTGTTTAACACATTATGACTGAGTTTCTGTAAATATTGGATAGCTCGAAACTGAACATGCAAACTAAGAATGCAACAATTAATCTGATAATGATGCATTTATAAACTGAGGCATGTAAAACTGAATACTAAAATATCTGACCTAGCATGTGTAATTCAAGAACTAAAGAAATACATAGCTAGGGTTCTGAAATTCATGCGATAAACTGAGCAATAACATGATAATCTGATTTGGAACATTTAAATAACTAATTCATGATGATCTGCTATAATTCTAGAAACCCTAGGTCTGTTCATAATCATGGAATCAAGAATCTGACTGAATTCTAGGGACCTAATGGGCGAAAAGAACCCACTAGTGAAATCCCACATACCTGGTGACGAATTCCACGGAGAAATCTTTCAATTTTGGGGCTGGAACTGAAGGAACCTCGCTGCGTTCTTGAACTAGGGTTCTTGACCTTTTTCTCCTCTCTTGCTTCTAATTTTTCTAAGTTTTGATTAATGAATTTGACTTAGGTAGGTTCTAGTTATGTTTCTAGGCTTAAACTAATTAAAACCTCATGATTTAGGGTCTAAACGACGTATCTTAGGGGTTAAACGAAATAGGAAAAGACCAAAAGACCCCTGAATTAACTGCTGTCGGAGTGACTGACGGAATGGACCTACGGTCCGTCAATCAATCGACGGTCCGTCGATTGGGTCCGTAGGTCGAGTCTGCCCGACAGGGTTTCACTAAAACGGGCATAACTTTTTACTCGGAGGTCGAAATTTAGCAAACTTGGTGGTGTTGGAAAGATAATTCAATTATTTATCTAACAATAGGTCATGATACACATAATTCATTTTGTGCTAAGATTTATGACCATCTGAAGTTGACCCATCAATATTTTTCAGCTAACTGGCTGCTGACCCTCATCTACGGTCAGACCTACGGACCGTGGATTGAATGACGGTCCGTGCTGGTCGACCGTAGTTTGTGTCAGAGGCTGGGTAAGAGAAGTCTCGATCCACGAACACAGACCACAGACCGTGGTCTGATCTACGGACCGTGAGTCTGTCCGTGAGTCAGGACTTAGCCAAATTTTCTGACTGAGTTCTGGGGAAGTTTTCTGTCATGGACCTGCAGGACAAACCGTGGGTCCATCTACGGTCCGTGGATGGTGTCCGTGAGTGCCACCTGTAACACCAAAAATCTGAAATCTCTATTTTCGGATATGGGGTGTTACACCATACACCTTCATAACCCAAACGTCCACATGACTAACCATATTATCACATAAAACAGAAAAATCACTTCCAAACACTCCAAAACTCAAAGAAAAATGTCTTTACTCCATAGGAGGGTTGCTCCACCTTTCCCCATTTCTCATCAGCTAAATCAATAGAAATGATGTTCCCGTCTTTATACATATTAAACAAATCAGGGCCATGAGTAATCCAATAAAGTTTCCCATTCACAAACTTGCCCGATATATTTAATAGCTTCTTAATAGGACATTCATCAACACATTTCCAAGAATCACTATGTAAACAATATATTTTAACCTCAACTTGATCCCGACTGCTATATTTCAAAAAAATAGCCACTACCTTATAATCATAGTGGAATTCATTATATCCAAAACCATATAAAGGCCAACAATCTTTCTTCATTAATGTAGGTTTAGAATCAAGCAATTTTTTGTACTTCCTAATTGATGGATTCCATAGAACCAAGTCATATTCCTCAATGGCAAGACAAATCAATCCATTGACAGAACCTACCATCGAAAAATATTTGGGCAATTTCTTGTACGGGTAATCCAAGTCAAATGCCTCAGTTACAGACTCATAAAGTAAGGAAGTAGGAGTAAAATCTTTAAGAGTATACTCATGAAGACCATTCATAGCTGCACCAAAATTCATAGTAAGCAAATGGTGAGTGTAATCCTTGTTGTTATTAGTGGATAAGTTGAGATGGGTGTTGATAAATTCAGGGCTAGAGATCAAAGCAAGCCAAGATTTCGAAACATACCTGAATTTCAAAAGCGATTTCACTGGTACCCTTGAGAGGATTTCAGTGATGAGTTATGCTGGCAACACAGGGATTGTCATCAAGACTGAACCTTTTATTGAAGTTGAAGGTAATTGAGAATGATTTGTGGGTTTTTTCAGATTTGGGTGTATATAGAAGGCTCCATCTTTCTTGGATTCCATTTGAGTAGCAGAAATTTGAGCTCTCAATTTTTGCTATGAACGAGTAAAGAACCTTGTGTTTGTGCTTTGAGAATTTTCCCCAAACTATTCAAAAGTACTAGTTGTATTTTTCCGCTTCAATTTACCTAGTATTATTTGAGCAAGATTAATTTTAAGGGCTCGTTTTAAAGGATAGACAAGTAATAATTAATCTCGAGATTATTTTCATGTTTAATTAAAAAATTATATTTGATTGAAATAAAATTATGAGATATTTTATCACGGATTAGTTAGTCCAGAATTGTAACGCTATTTTTATGAGGGTGGATTAAATACAACAATAATACATTTAGTGGAATCTCACTAAATGGGGTCTAGAAAAACTAGAGTGCACACATATTTTTATTTTCAAAAGATGAGGAAGGATTAACAATCTCGCATAAGATGGGTACTCCCGATATTGTCTTGGAAATTATCAGTATATATAGTAGTGTACTGGACTTCGACATAATTGATCCCGAAATAATTAATCTCAAAATAACATGTTCCCCAATCAAACAAGCCCTAAGAGAAATTATACAGTAAAACCTCTATAAATTAATATTCAGTAAATTAATAATCTCTCTAAAGTAATATTTTCCTCCGGTCCCAACTTGGGCTAATGGAAAAAATCACCAATTTCGATAAGATAATATATTTCCAGAAGACCCCTATATAAATATATGGTCCCATTAATATCATAAATTAATAATTCTTTAAAAGTACAAATATATCTAAGACAATTTCGTGAAACATGATTCTATTGTGTTCTGTTTTTCTTAAAGTTTAAATCTAATTGAAGCTCATCTCTAACTTTTCTTCTTGCATCCAAGAGCTCTGGCTTTGTCTTTTCTAACTGCACCATAAAATTGTGAAGAGTTCTAGATGCGATTAGTGCTTCTTTACGCGTAACTGGTTCCAAAGGTATAATATCATCTTCAACTTCATCATCAACATTGCTTTTTCTGATGGTATCTACAATTTCTTCTAAGCTCTAAACCTCTGAACATGTATCACTTTCACCCAAATAATCCAACATGTTATTGACATCCATTTTATTGTGGTAACCGAGATCATTAATCATGACCTCAAGTTCATAAATGACGTTTTCACAAGTGGGTTCATTCAAATTCTCTGAGATTGCATCCTCCGAATGAATTTTACAGTGTCAAAAATAATTTGCTATTGTCTTTTGCTGAACATGTGTTGTCCAAGCAAGGATTGCAAAATTGATAAGATCCAAAACATTATTCTTTGCTGCAGTTTATCTCACTTCATAGCCTTCTAATATCCTACAATAAAATATGTTACGATAATACATCTTGAAAACTTTTATTATCCCAACATCACAAGGTTGAATTTTGGATGTCATGTTGGGTGACAAGAAAAACAATTCAACATTTGCTATTTTATTCTGTATCATTTTGTATTACACAAGTTTTTTTAATCTGTTCGAAAAAAAAAAATCTCCAAATTTAGTAGTCATTTAATTTTAAAATTCATTTTGTCAAAATAACTAGTACAGTTTTTGGACTACAGTTTAGTAATATTCAAATTACATTGGTCTGTATTCAGTCAATAATTTGGATACAAATTAAGAAAAAAAAAACACTCAATGTTGATCTAAAAATAGCAAATTAAAAAAGATAAACGTAAAATAGTTAAATCCCTAATTTTGGATATTGACTACATAATATACCAATTCCTTAAGCATGCAAAACGACGTCGTTCTTCACAAGACGATGGAAAATAAAGTAATCTTCCCGCCTAACCAAAAAACCTCCTAAACATCAAAACGTTGTAGTTCTTCTCCAAGAGCTCAAATTACTGCAACTCTAATGGCAGAATCTGAGGGAGACGAAGCGTCCGATCTACACCAAAACGAATAAAATGCACTAACTCTGCTCAATTGCCTCTCACTTCAATTAAAGATTCAGTTTTTATGACAATTCCTATTCTGCCAGCAGAGCTCATCACTGAAATCCTCTTGAGGCTTCCGGTGAAATCTCTCTTGAAATTCAGGTCTGTATTAAAATCCTGGCTTGATTTAATCTCTAGACCTGAATTTATGAACACCCATCTCAGTAAATCTGCTAATAACGAGGATTTCACTCACCATAGGCTTATGCTGAGTTTTAATCAACCTAAGTACAATCTTAAGGATTGTTCTGTTAGTTCTTTAATTAATGGCTCAGTTACTGAGGCATTGAACTTGGAGTATCCTAGGATCTGTTGAGATTGTGGGTTCTATGAATGGATTGATTTGTCTTGTTATTGCAAAAAAGATATTTGTTTATATGGAATCCATCAATTAGGAAGTTCAAGAAATTGCCTGATTGTAGAGATAAATGGTGTTCTGGTTGCCATTCCATGTATGGTTTTGGATTTGATGAGGTTCATCGTGATTATAAGGTAGTGGTTGGGTTCCATAACGAGAGTTATGCCTATTCATTTCTTGTTAAGGTTAAAATGTATAGTCTAAATAGTAACTCTTGGACAAGTATAGAAGATTTTGAGACTGGGAACATATGTACTAAGTCGGGTATGTTTGTGAATGGGAAAATTCTTTGGGCTAATGATATTTATTATACTTCTGGTTCGGACATCATTTCTTTTGATTTGGCTGATAGGACATGGGGAAAAGTGCAACAACCCTACTATGGAGAAAGAGATTTTTGTTGGACCCTGGGAGTTTTGGAAAGTGATCTTTCTGTGTTTTGTAATTATCAAAGAATTCACGTTGACGTGTGGGTTTTGAAGGAGTATGGGGTTAAAAAAATCTTGGATAAAGATGTATAACATCAATATTCCTTGTGATCCTATGATCGGTTATCATTGTCTATTCTTTTGCATGTCAAATAAAGGTGAAATTTTGTTTCAGTTTGGCTCAACTTTCATGATTTACAATCCAAGGGATCATCACTCAATCGTACAACGAAGCCCACATCTAGAGGTTACCCACTATGACTATAAGGCAAGCATCTACATAGAAAGCCTAGTTTTGCCCTTTTTTCAACGGAAGAAATCAAGGATGCAACAACGGAGGAAGTTGAAATAGCTCTGATGAAGACAATTGTGTAATTAATAGTAAGACTTCTCTGTACATCTCTCAAGTGTTGTTATACTCTGTTTCTTTTCAAGTATAGAACGAGATATTACATACTACGCCTATCTGAACCATATCCTCTTGGAGGTCTTGTTAGTGTTATTTTCTTTTTTGCTTCACGGAGATAACAATTTTCTTGGAAGAATAGTTATTTGGTTGAAGTGCTTGGTGTCTTCATCCTCAACCTAAATGGCACTCAACATTTTTGTTACTTTGAATAACAATTATTTTATCATGTTCAGAGTATCTAAATTTGACTTTAAAGAAAGAACTTTTGTATGTTCTGTTGTATATTTTACAACAGTAAAGTTAAAATATGTGTGATGTTATGTATCACCGAGTGAGAGATAAAAGCCCCGGCTTAAAGAATTTCCAAGAGCAACATCCACTTGTTATACTATAACCAACCTATAATGAGGAAAAATAGCTAGTCCTTGTAAGTAAACAACGCCAAGAATTTGATTGACTTGCATATTAGTGTAATTGTGGTTCAATTTGTTGATTTGCATATTTTGTGATCCATTAAATTTAGATAACTTATTGTTGTGCATTAGTGAAATGATATGGAGGAGAAAAAGGAAAGAAGCCAAAATGTGTAATATGAAATTTCTTTGCGAGTTGGATTTACTGGAACTAGAGAGGAGAGGATGGTTTCTACATTAAACTCCAGCTCTAAATCAACTAATTTACCCATTTTTGGTAGCATAAAATGTTGGATAAGAATAAGTAATGCTTGTAATTCATTCTTAACGTTTTTATCCTTTTTGGTATTAATTGTAGATCATGTATACCACTTAAGGTTGCACCATGTTCCATCTTAGACATCAGATAAGTTAACGACGGTACATTTGTTTGTGTTATAATGGATGTTAAGGGAGATGTTATGCCCCTAAATCGAGTGAGAATAAAGAGCATTCAGAGACATGGAAATCTTGCATCGCGTTATATTGTGGTTTAATTTGTTGTTTTATGTCCCTGTGGATCATTAATTGCGGAAACAAGAGAGACATATAGCGAAGGCCAAGAACTTATTGGCCTGCAATGTATGTGTAAATTCTTAACAAGTTACTCTTTTATTGGCAGCATAATATATAGGATCAGCATGACAACCGCTTGATGTTGCATCACTTTTCATCTAGACATCAGATTTAGTTTACAGCGGTTTATTTGATTTGTGTCCATTGCTTAGAAGTTGAATGGAAGCAACTTTGACAACATGTATCAATGGTGTTTGCAGGGAAATGGAACTCGTCTCTTTGCTTAAATAACGCTGAATTTTCTAATGGAAGTGATGTTTGCGTGTGAATTGCTAACTGATACTATGTACTATTGAACTTTCAGGACGTGAATGCTGATGCTAGGAACAACTAATCTACTACTACTACTACTTGTCTGCATGGATTGCAACGTGGAAGGATGGATTTTCTCTGTTTTTACTGTTTCTTGGTTTTGTGGTCTGAAAGATAGAAACTTGCATTAAGGTCATCGCCAATCCTTAAATGGTCATGTCTGTGAATACAAAAGACATAATATATAAGCGTGTTCTTCAATTTGGTCTCAGCTAACATTTATATCCTTCAATTTT